GGGAGTTCTGGATCCTCGGGATAAGCTGCTTCGTCTCCCGCTTCTGGGTCGGGTATGAAATTTGGCCCTACCCTTTCTGCTTCGTTGGTGTTGACTGTCGCAGGTGTTACGTAACCATTGTCGGCGAAATGGTGGAAGACTTCGGCGTTGTTACTGTCGCGAGGATTGTCTTCATCCATGGGCACGTCGACGGAGCAGTACGGGAGAGGCCCGGCTTCCTCCGATGCGTTGTCGACGTTCTGTTCATCCCAGTCTGCTTCGTCCGCTGCTGAGGCGAAGGCTCGGTCACCACGAAAGCCACCGGTGAGGTCCCGATTCTCGTGCAAGTTGGCGAGGTACGTCTGAAGGGTGAGTCGTTCGTAGAAGATCACATCACGTGCTGCTACTGTTTCTTTTGTGATGGACGTCGAAGATTCTCCACACGTTGTAATTTTTCTCGATGCCGAGGTGTAGTCCCCACTGTGCTGTCAGAATCCCAGTCACTAGACCATTGGGATAGAAGGGCTTTTTTAAGTAGCGGGTCAGAGTGCGCCCATAACCCCCCAGGCAAACGCGCCTGTAACCCCCCGTAGGATCAATCGGGCATCCACAGTGCAGATCTACTGACACCCCCCCACATTGGGAGGCCCAGGACTGAGCACAGCGGCAACGGCCTACATGTGCATACACCGGGATTCGAACCCGAGACCGCTCTGATACCATGTCAAAATTCCAGTCACTAGACCATTGGGATAGAAGGGCTTTTTAAAGTAGCGGGTCAGAGTGCGCCCATAACCCCCCAGGCAAACGCGCCTGTAACCCCCCGTAGGATCAATCGGGCATCCACAGTGCAGATCTACTGACATGTGCCCGTTGCGAAAATCTTCCCGCTCGTGCTTCTGGGGGTCGGTACTGTACCATGCACCCGAAAACTCGTAACATTTTTGTGCTGCCCTGCTTTCGTGTCCACAGCAGATGCGGTGATGCGTTGTTCGGGAGTGACGACGACGACAGCAAGTTGTGCAGCATGACAGCATGGTCCATTGCTGCTGGCCACTGGTAGTTGGGTAGCCGCATGCCACGTAACAGTTTGCGCATGCTGTTCTGCAGAGTCCTGTTCATTCTTTCTGCAACACCTTGCTGCTGATGTGCGTAGGGAAGGGAGAGGAGTTCCTTGATTCCCCTTTCCGCCAGGTACTGCTTGAAGCGCTGAGAGGTGTACTCGCCACCTCCGTCTGACCGGAAGCTTTTCAGCTGCGTTCCTGATTCCCTCTCTGCTATCGGTAGCCACGCGGCGAAAGCTGCGAGTGCCATGTCGCGGCTGGGTAGGTTGCGATGCCAAACATATCGAGTGGCGGCGTCGATGAAGGTGATCGTGTAATTATAGGTCACTTGGCCTGGTTCTCGATTGTAGAGGATGTCGCTGTAGACTTTTTCGAGTGGTACGTATGCAGGTGCGCTCGGGTTGTGATGAGAAGAAAACGGTCGATGGGGTAAGTCGGCTTCAGGGCAGATGTGGCAAGTTCCTCGTGCCCGTTGAAGTTCTCTCCCGTCGAGTAGTAGTAGCGAATCTTTGTCAAGCACTCCTGCTCGTATCGTATTGTTTAATACCGTGTTGCTTGGATGCCCTGTGCGTGCGTGCCAGATTTCTTCGGAGGCACGGTGTCCAGGTGATCGTTGATATGCGTCGGAGTTGGAGTAAAAACTGGCGACGAAGTTGGCGCTGCGGTGGACTTCTCGTTGAGTAGGGTTCAGCTGTTGTGCGGGTGTTGGTGGTTCTTCGTCGACGATGACTGGTGTTGTTGTTCCTGCTGCTGCCGATGTTGTTGCTGCTGCCGATGTTGTCTCTGCTGCTGCTATTGTTGTCTCTGCTGCTGCCAGTGTTGTCTCTTCTGCTGCCGATTGTTGAATTGTTACTAATGCTCGTGTGCGCTCTGCTTCAGGGATGGTGTGTGAGTACCAGAAGCCTCCTGGGCTGAAGTCGGGATCGAGGTCCGGAGGGTGTGTCCAGTCGGTAAAGTTGACGATGGCGTCGCTGTCTGCAGTGCCTAGGTCGGGGACGAAGTCAAGAACGAAGACGTTGTTCTTCAACACTGCTCTCCCGATGTAGAGACCGCCCCTCCCGTGGTATAACTTGAACTCCTGGGTGGTGCTGTCGGCTTCCAGGTGAATCCCCTTCGCCATCAGCTGGCTAACACTCAGTAAGTTGTAACCAAGTCCTTCTGCGATGAGTACTTTCGACATGTGTAGTATGACGTTGGTTTCTCTTGATTGAAGTTGAACGACTCCTTGTCGTCTTGTGCGCAGGTTCTGTTTGTTGGCGACCGTGATGACTACTTCTCGCTGGAGTCGATGTTCGCGTTGTACGAAGCGCCCGGAGGAGCACATGTGTTGCCCGCAGCAACTATCCAAGAACCAAGTGTCTTGGCCGGACGGTTCGCTTTGAGCGATTGCGGCGTACGTTGGATTCGGATGGAGTGATTCGCGGCGAGGCATCCTGTTGTCAAGCTCTTCTTCCGGTGAGTAGTGCGGTGGTGATTCGGTTGTGCACGAGTCGGTTATCTTCACCATGCAGTTGACGATGCTTCTTGTTCCTTGTGCAGGTTGTCCAGTTGAAGTCGTTGAAGTTTGGATCGTGGTCGTCGGACTTGCTTGCGTTGAAGCAACTTGGGAGCTTGAAGGCCGCAGTTGTCGCTGTGGTGTCGTCTGACGAGACGGGCAATGCGTGCGAGGATGGCCCGAGGTCTTGCAGATGTGGCAGAACGGAGGTACCGTTTTCACTTGCTGTTGTCGATTGTTGTTGCCGTTGTGTCGACGCTGAGTGTGAAAAGCAAATTCTGGTGCTAATGCTTTCTTCTTGTGTCTTTCTTCTTGCAGGTCCATGTCCTGTTGCTCAGCATGAATTTCGGCGCAGAGTGCCGCTTCGGAGATCCTCCCGTGTGCTCGTAATATGGCGCGAGTGGAGCGCCAGTGGGGGCCGAGACCGCCGATGACCACCGTGACAAAGGCGTCTTCTGAAATTGACCCGCCGCATCGAAGAAGCTTGTCGCGCAGTTCGCGGCAGCGGCTGATATAAGCCATGCCTTTCTCGCCTGGTTTCATTTCAATCGTTGTCAACTGCGCCATTAACCTGCTTTGGTTTACGCTGTCTGTTGCTTGATACAGGTTCTTCAGATGGTTGTACGCAAGCTCCGCGGAGTTGCCGTAGCCTCGGTAAGTCCTGATGTTCTGCTGCTGGGTTGGGGTGATGTTCCTCAGCAGAATCGTGTACGCCATCATCGACTGATATGTATATTGCTGCTTCTCATATTGTGTCCCGTTTGTTGGATATGGCAGGGACCCGTCGAAGAAGCCAAGAATCTGTGCTCCTTCCATCATCAGTTCGAACTCGAACGACCAGGTGAAGAAATATTTGCCGTCGAAAGGCTTTGTTGTCTGTAGTTTTAGGACATGCGCGAATTGCGATTGGACTTGTAACGCATCCAATGTCCTTTCTTGTCCCGATGCGGGTTGCGGTTGCGGCACGAAGCTGACGGAGCCACGTTGGGGCTCGTACGGCGCAAAGGTAGGCTGCTGTTGTTGTTGTTGAATCCCGCGTGCGTAGGATGAGCCGTCGAGACTCATCGGAGTAACGTTGTTGTTGTTGCTGTTGTTTGACTGCGCAGGCACTCCTTGCTGGTGTTGCTCGTAGAAGGACATGAAGGAGAAAAATTTCTCCATCATGTTTGGATCGAAGCCTGCGGGTGTTTCCGTGGACCCAGCTGCTGGTCTTGCGGTAGTGCCTTCCTCTGTCTGTAGACCAGAGGCAGGAGGTGGAGTAGGAGTAGTGCCTGGTGAGCCGTTGGAGGAGCTCCTCTCCTTCCTTGCAGACATGTCTAATTTCTTTGTATTGAGTGTTGAGAGAAAAGATAGCCGTTATACTCTAACTGCTCTCATACCATGTTGGGCTGAGAAGCCCCAGGATCTTTGTAGAGTTGAAGGACTGAGTAGGATTGTAATAGCGGAAGCGTTGAAGTGAAGAATGATTGAACCACCTTGCGCTGGTGTGTGAGGGCAAAGTAAGTTGAATTAAACAAGCAAGTACAAGGTTTATATAAGAGTACAAGGAATACGAATAGATAGATTTAAACCGTTTTACTGTCTCGATTCGATACAGTGCGACTCGGGCAACTGCTCAATGTCGAGTCCGTTGTGTGTCCTTGCTGTCGCGCTGTAATTGTCGAGTCAAAGGTCGCTGACCTTTGACTTTCTTCTAACCTCCAAGCGGTTACCCTAACCTCCGAGGGTTGACTCGCGATGCTTCGATTCGGACTGCTTCGCTAGCGTCCTGAGTTTCGACACGTTAGAGGCGCTTAAGACTTATGCTATTATAAATATGCTTTTACGATACTGCATCATCATCGTCATTTGAGGGTAACTCTGACAGTTCAGACAAAAAAAAGTTGTGCTTGTCTGAATTTTCAGACTAAAATTTTGAGGCACCTCTGACAGACAGAGTTTTAGGAGGGGTGTACTCTGAGGCGTCAGACTACCTCAAAACGAATCTAGGGGCCTGGTCCAGGAGAATACGGTAAAAAAAACAAATGGGGCAATCTTGTATTGTACCTACCCTGTAACTAGAAACAAACCAGTGCAACCCGTGTTTTTTATAAGCCCACACTGCCCGAGGCGAAATGCACAAAACTCAGCGAAATGTTAAAATCACTTATGAGCCCAATGCACATAGCAACCTTGGGGTTGGGAATTTAAACAAGCAACAGGTGTACTATTTTGACAGCGTGCGCCTATAATTTCTGTCGGATTATAAGCGCATGACATTTTTTCAAGGTAATCCCTACTGTAAAAGCGCATGTCGGGGGGTTCGGAAAAATATAACTTACCCACACCACTTCCATTGTGTGCTACTTTAGTGCAGTGCGTGCAACACTCAATATGGTTCTGCTGCACGGCACGGTTGCATCATGACTACGACAAGTGTCGCGTCTAAGTTTAAGGCCATTGCATAGTTAGTAAAACCTTTGTTACAATCTCTTCACATATCCAGTGCCCTTACATTCTTTGCAAAAGACCAGTCCTGCACATCAGGCGGCAAGGAAAAGGAGGAGATTCAAGGAGATTTTATTAATGCTGCAGTGGGAATACCGTACAGAACTAGCTACAGAACTAGGTGACAGGTAGGAGAAAGGCTTCTGAGGGGCTATTCTTCCGGTCTAAGGCTTAATTTTTCCTTTTAAGCCTCCTCACACCTTCCTTGCTAAAAAAAACACCCCCCCCTGCCCCCTTGCATCTCCTCCCCCTCTCTCTCTCTGCCCCTTACAAACTCACCTGGCCCTTACGATCCCCTCCTGCACCCTCTCACCTCCCACCTGCCCCTATGTGCCCCACCTGCCTCTATGTGCCCCACCTGCCTCTATGTGCCCCACCTGCCCCTATATGCCCCACCTGCCCCCATGCGCCCTCACCTGTCCCCATGCGCCCTCACCTGCCCCCTTACACACGCGGCAATCCATGAGGCGCCCATCCTTGCCGGCCATCTTGCCCCCCTCGCAAAACACACACGCCGTGCCTCCTGCCAGCCCCATCACATACACAGAGGAGGGACAGCAAACGGGGGTGACGAGGAGGAAAGGGGATGGAAAGATATGGGTAAGTGCAGGGAGCAACCTGAGATTGAGCGTCAGAGAGATGTAGAAAGATGCAGGAGGAGCTGACGGCCAGCAGTGTCGCCATGGGGTGCCATGGTGCCATTGCATCAAGGTGCTACGTCATGGCGCCATGCCATTGCATCAATGCGTTATGTGGCGCCATGCGAGAAATGAAGAGTGACGAGAAGAGTTATGATGCTTCGTGGGGTGGCATGGCAGTGAGGTGTATGAAAAGGCTCTCACCATTTCCCCCGCACTTAGCACACGGCACTGGGTCGCCCTGGCACCATTGCATGCGGAAAGGCGGGGCACGGGCACAGGACAGCATGCAGGGCGCAGGAGAGAATGCGGGGCACAGGAGATAGGAGCAGGCAGATAGGAGGCGCATAGTGAGTGACCTCGGGCGAGCGTGTGAGACGTGGCGAGCATGTGTGCAGCGAGCATGTGTGCAGCGAGCATGTGTGCAGCGAGCATGTGTGCAGCGAGCAAATGTGTAGCGAGCATGTGTGCAGCGAGCAAATGTGCAGCGAGCAAATGTGCAGCGAGCATGTGTGCAGCGAGCATGTGTGCAGCGAGCATGTGTGCAGCGAGCAAATGTGTAGCGAGCATGTGTGCAGCGAGCAAATGTGCAGCGAGCAAATGTGCAGCGAGCATGTGTGCAGCGAGCATGTGTGCAGCGAGCATGTGTGCAGCGAGCACGGAAGCCAGAGAAGAAACGTAAGCGTGAGGAGGGGAGGCCATTGGAAGGAGGGGGGGGGGGGGGGGGGGCGTGCGGAGGATGAGCAGCGGGGGGAGAAGGGGTGGCGGAGTGGGTGCGCGGAGTGTGTGCGCGGAGAGCGGCACCTTGAGCGTAAGTCGCAGGGAGACGGCGGCGGCAGCGAGCGCGTGTGCAGCGAGCATGCGTGCAGTGAGCATGTGTGCTGTGAGCATGTGTGGAGCGAGCATGTGTGCAGTGAGCACGGAAGCCAGAGAAGAAACGTAGGCGTGAGGAGGGGAGGCCATGGGAAGGGGGGAGGGGGGCGGGCGTTCGGAGGATGAGCAGCGGGGGGTGAAGGGGTGGCGGAGTGGGTGCACGGAGTGGGTGCGCGGAGAGCGGCACCTTGAGCGCAAGTCGCAGGGAGACGGCGGCGGCAGCGAGCGCGCCCGTCGTGAGGATAAATGTCTGCACGTCGCCCGCCCCGTCGCCCGCTGCTGCCTCCGCTACCACCGCTCCCGCTCCGCGCCGCCGCGCGGGGGAAAGGCGACGGATGCGTGAGGATGCGGCGGAAGGGCGGAACGAGGGACACTGCGTGGGGGTGGAGGCGGGGAAAGGGTGGCGCTGCAGCATGGGCGGAGAGGCGGATGGGAAGGAAGGCGAGAGATGAAGGCGATGGCGCGCTGTGGGAGGCGGCGCTGGGGTTGGCCGGCGATGCGGAGCGAGGCGATGAGGCGATGTCGGGGGGGTAAAGTCGGGGAGGAAGAGCGGCGAGGCGAGGGGCGAGGCAAGGCGGCACGCAGGCGAGCAGCAAGGCGGCGCAATGTGCGAGAGAAGTGGCGGCATGGTGGTCGCAATCACATCACAGCTGTCAACAGACCAATGAGGTGAATGGGCGATGCACTCATGCAGTTGTGGACCTAGTTTTCTTATGTGTTCGTGCTTTAAAACCCGCGTCTCATAATTTCTACCGTATTACACTTGGTTGGAAGGTGGCACCTGGGATTGGTGCACGAGCAGCGAACTTTTGCACGAGAGGAGGGGTGATTTGGGCGAAACCCAAACACTGTACCCTCAACACCAAACCTACTGCCCTAACCTGTTGGCACAACCAAACCAGGGTTACAGGTTTGTCAAGTTCTCACACCCTCTGCGACAAACCCATACGACGTAAAAAGCACACATTTTCAGGAGCAGTCATTCCCCTCCAGATCTCCGTCAACCACACCACCTCCTTCCCGTTTTGGAGTAACACAACGTCATTTCTGCTCTTGCCTCGTGTAAAGCTCTCACATCTAGCTCCAAAATCTCCCATGTAGGCCACCCGGATAATTTGCACGTCGCCAGCGAAATGTCGGAATACTCCGACTCCGTTGCGCATTCGCCTCCATGGTATCGCACCCCCAATACCACGCCTTCCCTTCCCGTCGCCCTCCCTTCCCATCGCCTTCCCTTCCCGTCGCCTTCCCTTCCCGTCGACCTCCCTTCCCGTCGCCCTCCCTTCCCGTCGCCCGCGCTTCTTCCCGTCGCACTCGCAATCCGTTTCTTCCTCTCTCCCCGTCGCCCTCCCTTTCCCCGTCGCCCTGCCATCCACTGCTCGTCGCCCTCGCCTTCCATCCCGCCTCCCTTCCCATCTCGCACACGTGTCACCCTACTTCCTGTTTTCCCTCACTCCAATAATCTCCCTGCTGCCCCCCACTAATACCCCTATCCCCTTCCCTGCTTTCCCCAATCCCGCTGCTCCCACAGGCTTCTGACAGCCCTCTCTCCGTCCCCTCTGAAGCCCACGGCTCAGCTCCTATCAGAATTCCCTCATTCCTCCGACGCCCCCTACCCTAGGACTCCTGCCTCCCGATCCCTCTCCCCGTGCACGCATCGCACGCGCATCGTCCCCCTCTCCTCCTCCACCGCCCCTGCTGCCGCTCCCTCTGCTTCCCCTTGTTTCCCCCCTGCTTCCCCTAGTCTCCCCCCTGATTACCATATTTCGAAACTCCTCCTTCCCGTCATTTCCCCCTTTGCTTCTCCTCGTCTCCCCTCCTTCCCCTCGTTTACTTCGCTGCTTACCTCGTTTCCCCCTCTGCTCTCCTCGTTCTCCCTGTGCTTTCCCTCTTCCCCCCCCCTCCTTCCCCTCATTTCCCTCCCTCCTTCCCCTCATTTCCCCCCTTGATTCGCCTCATTTACCATCTTGCTTTCCCTCATTATCCTCCCTGCGTCTCCTAATTTGCCCCTTGATTCCACCTCATTTCCCACCCTGCTTTCCCTGTTTGTACCTGCTTCCCCTTATTTCCCCCCTGCTTCCCCTCATATCCACCGCTGCTTCGCCTCATTGTCCCCTCTATTTCCCCTCGTTCCCCCCTTTGCTTCCCCTCACTCCCCCCTTTGATTTCCCTCGTTTCCCCTCCTCCTTCCCCTCATTTACCCTCCCTGTTTCACTTCATTTTCCTCCCCATCTTCCAGTTTGTACCCTCCTGCTTCCCCTCATTTCTCTCCGCTGCTTCCCCTCATTTCTCTCCGCTGCTTCCCCTCATTTCTCTCCGCTGCTTTTCCTCATTTACCAGGATTTCCCCCTCTGTTTCCCCTTCGTTTCCCCACCTGTTAAACCCTCGTTTTCCCCTCTTCTCTCCCTCCTTTCATCTTCCTATTCCCCCATTTCCCTATCCCCCTCTTCCCTATCTCCCCTCATCTCTATCCTCCCTCTTCCTAAGGTATTTCCTTCTTTCTCTCTCACCCTCTTTCCTTCTCCTTTCTCTTCCCCCTTGCTTCCCTCTTCCCCCTCTTTCCTATCTCCCATATCTCCGCTCTTCTCATCTCTATCAGTTTGACGTTTTTCCTTTTTCCCCCTCCCCATACCTCGTAATATCCCCCCCTCCCCTACCTGGCTATTGCAGTGACTACAGTGAAGCTTTTTCTAGTACTGGTACTACAACTCGCTCAGCCCAACTTCCATGCCATACTCGTAGCGTAACCAGTTCCCCTCACGTTTTTTATTTTTGTATTCAGGGCCCTGAGAAAGGTTCTGTTATATTGCTCCCCTTGACCTTTGCCTACAATCAGAAGTACCCTTATGACACTCTTTGTGCCAATGCATCTTGGAAGAATATCTTGCACTGGAAAAACAAAAGTACATAGAGAGAGAGCCTTGCAATGCAGACCTCCAACAGTAATACAGTAACATGCTTGCATACAACACACACGAGACAGGTGGTGGTACAATGTAAAGCATTGACTGGCTGTGCCTCAGCTTGCAACTGTTGCTCCTCTGCTTCACCACTGAAAATTAGGGAAGACAGGAAGAAAGTTAGCGGAGACTGGAAGAAAGAAGCAAGTGAAGAAACATGGGGAAGGTGGTGTGAGGTGCAACGGAACAATGGCAAGGGAATACAAGCAAGCGCACATGATGAAAGTATGTATGGGGAAATAGATGGGTGCACACGCATGGGAACAACAGGGCAGAAGGTGAGGAGTGAGGGGGAAGGGATGGGGAAGGGAAGGTTTGAGAAGGGATGGGGAAGGGAAGGTTTGAGAAGGGATGGGGAAGGGAAGGACAGGGCAGGGAGGGAAAGGCAGGGATGGGGAGGGCGGGTGGGTGGAGTCTGGGGGAGAGGGCAGGTAATATGTTATGAGGATGGTGGGGGAGGAGGTGATTTGCATGAGAAAGGATGGGAAGGAATGAGAGAGGGTGGGAAGAAATCCGTTAGGGTGGCAACGAATGAGTGAGGGTAGGAAGGAATGAGTGAGTGAGGGAAGGAATGGGGGGGAGCAGGAAAGGCGATGGGGGGAAGCATTGCAGGGGATGGGGGGAAGCAGGGAACGGGATGGGGGAAAGCAGGGAAGGGGATGGGGGGAAGCAGAGAAGGGGATGGGGGGAAGCAGGGAAGGGGATACGGGGAAACAGGGTAGGGAATGGGGGGAAGCAGGGAACGGGATGGGGGGAAGCAGAGAAGGGGATGGGGGGAAGCAGGGAACGGGATGGGGGGGAAGCAGAGAAGGGGATGGGGGGAAGCAGGGAAGGGGATACGGGGAAACAGGGTAGGGAATGGGGGGAAGCAGGGAACGGGATGGGGGGAAGCAGAGAAGGGGATGGGGGGAAGCAGGGAACGGGATGGGGGAAAGCAGAGAAGGGGATGGGGGGAAGCAGGGAACGGGATGGGGGGGAAGCAGAGAAGGGGATGGGGGGGGGGGAAGCAGGGAAGGGGATACGGGGAAACAGGGTAGGGAATGGGGGGAAGCAGGGAACGGGATGGGGGGAAGCAGAGAAGGGGATGGGGGGAAGCAGGGAACGGGATGGGGGGAAGCAGAGAAGGGGATGGGGGGAAGCAGGGAAGGGGATACGGGGAAACAGGGTAGGGAATGGGGGGAAGCAGGGAACGGGATGGGGGGAAGCAGAGAAGGGGATGGGGGGAAGCAGGGAACTGGATGGGGGGAAGCAGAGAAGGGGATGGGGGGAAGCAGGGAAGGGGATACGGGGAAACAGGGTAGGGAATGGGGGGAAGCAGGGAACGGGATGGGGGGAAGCAGAGAAGGGGATGGGGGGAAGCAGGGAACGGGATGGGAAGGGGATTGGGGGAAGCTGGGAAGGGAGGGATGGCGAGGGCAACGTGGAGTGGATGGGAGGGCGAGAGAGACGGAGATTGCGAGGGGACGAGCGGGAAGATGGGCGACGAGGCGAAGGGGGGCAACGAGCGGAAGGGAGCGCGACGAGGGGAAGGAAGGGCGGCGGGCGGAAGGGAGCGCGACGAGGGGAAGGAAGGGCGGCGGGCGGAAGGGAGCGCGACGAGGGGAAGAAAGGGCGGCGGGCGAAAGGGAGTGTGACGGGCGGAAGGGAGTGCGACGGGCGGATAGGAGGGCGACGGGCGGAAGGGAGGGCGACGAGCGGAGGGAGGGCGACGGGCGGAAGGGAGGGCGGCGAATGGAAGGGAGAGTCAGGCTGAAGCGTGGGCGACGTAAGGAAGCGTGGGCGATGTATGGAATGGGCGACGTACCTAAGCGTGGGCAACGAGCGGAATCATGAACGACGCGAGGACGACGACGCGCGGGCGCGTACGTTTCGGCATCTCGCTTCAACAAGCGAGCAGGGGAAGCGGGGCGCACGCTTTGGAACCAAGCTAGGCGCATGGTTTCAGCACGCGCGTACAGGCGCGGCCTCTCGTCATAGCGACGAGAGGCCGTGTGGATAAAACGACGTGCCTGTGTGACGTTTGACGCTGGAATATATATAGGGAAAATAAGTGGCTGAAATGAGACTTAGTCGCTAGAGAAATCGGTGCAAGTATGTTCCCCTGCCTACAACCTGTCCGGGTTTGCAGTCTCATATTTTTTCAGCTCTGTAATATGCTCGGTTCTGGGCTGTGTGTCGCATTCTCAGTCCGTCGCACACGCAGTTGCCTGTTTCTCGCAAATCCGGCTTGGTAGTCCGGCACCTGCACCTACCAAACTGTTTGGTTTGCAGCCAGTCGCACCTGCGCCAAACCAAACGCGATTGTTTTGCGAGGGAGCGTTTGGTTACCCGGTTTCAAGTGTATTACCTTTGGTTAGAAACAAGAAATATGAGATGCGGGTTTTAACAATATGCAAATACTCTAATATTCGACCTCTTATGTGGGTTTCAACGAGACGAGCTTTGCATCTCATGATCTGCTGAGAGCGCGAGAGTCCATTCCATCCGCGAACGACGTAAGTAGTGAAGTGACACCAACTGCCGCTGCAGCAGCGACAGCGGCGTGTCTGCGATCGAACCTTTTCCCAGGGCAAGCAATCAAAGTCCAGCCTAGCAAGCGACCATACACATCCCCCTCACTCACTCACTTGCTTCATTACGCTCAACGCTCGAGAGTCCAGTCTATCGGCGAACGGCGTGAACACGGATGCCAGCTGCCGGTGCAGCAGCGACAGCGGCGCGCCCTGCAGGCAAGTCCATCCATACGGCCTAACAACTCACACTCACATCACACTCCCTCGCCCACTCACTCACTGCTTCGTGATGCTGCTGAGAGCGCGCGAGCCCAATCTATCGGCAAAGGCGTGAGCACGGACGCCAGCTGCCGCTGCAGCAGCGACAGCGGTGTGCATGCTGGCGTATCCCCCCAAAATCCAATCCCACTCCAGCCTACCAAGTGACCATACACACCTCACATGCTATTCACTCACTCTCTCACTCACTTGTTTCATGATGCTGCTGAGAGCGCGCGAGTCGAGTCTATCACGAACGGTGTGAGCACGGACGCTAGCTGCCGCTGCAGCACCGACAGCGACGTGCCTGCTGGCGCGTGCTTCACTGCCGCCAGTGCCCGGTGCACCCCCTCTTGCACCTCCCCTGGCGTCCCCTGCGGAAATTCGGAGGGAATGTTGAGGGGTGGGTGGGGGTGGGGTGGGAGGGGTAAGGGGAAGGAAATAGCCGGAAGAGTGTGGAAGAGGGAGAATAGGGGTTGCACGAATTCAACGAATCAGATGCTAGCACAGCCACTTATCTCGCGGCCATTTTCAGGTGCATGCCACATAGCCTGGAAAATGTTTTCAAGTGCATGCCATGTTATTCGGCAGGTGTGTACACCATACGCAGCTTAGAAAATTGTTATCGTAATATGACGCGCTTCCCAAGATTCGTTTCGAATTAGCACAAACAGTCAAGAATAGATGCGTTTACGGGTTACGCAAATCCAAATCGGGAATGGTTGGCTCTCGATTCTACATTTTCTTGTCAGAACATTATAGCTTACTTATTTGTGTAGGCTATAGTGGGGTATCCCATAGGGGGTACAACCCAGTTAGGGTTTCCTATTTGTACTCACTTCGTTCATAGTTCACTCATTCTCTCGTTCACTTCTTCTCATGGAATCAGAGCAGGTTCCCCTGTGGGAACTGTGCTTAGGGCCCACCGCTTAGAACTTTTTTTTTTTCCTGCCCTAGCGCCCTGCGCCCTAGCGCCTACCCTAGCGCCCGCCCTAGTGCCCTAGCGCCCGCCCTAACGCCCGCCCTAGCGCCCGCCCTAGCGCCAGCCCTAGCGCCCTAGCGCCCGGCGCCCGCCCTAGCGCCCGTTAGCCGCCCGCGGCCTACCCGTGCGCTGCCGCCCGTGCGCCGCCGCCCGTGAGCGCCGCCCGTGAGCGCCGCCCGTGAGCGCAGCCCGTTAGCGCCGCCCGTGAGCGCCGCCCGTGACGCCGCCGCCCGTGAGCCGCCGCCAGTGACGCCGCCGCCAGTGACGCCGCCGCCCGTCACGCCGCCCGCCCGTGACGCCGCCGCCCGTCACGCCGCCCGCCCGTGAGCCGGCGCTGCCCGCGAGCCGCCCACCCGTGGGCCTCCAGCCCGCCCGTGAGCCGCCGACGCTGCCGACGTCGCCCGTGAGCCGCCGACGCCGCCGACGCCGCCCGTGAGCCGCCGACGCCGCCGACGCCGCCCGTAAGCCGCCGACGCCGCCGACGCCGCCCGTGAGCCGCCGACGCCGCCGACACCGCCCGTGAGCCGCCGACGCCGCCGCCGCCGCCCGTGAGCCGCCGACGCCGCCGCCGCCGCCCGTGAGCCGCCCACGCCGCCCGTGCGCCGCCCGCCCGTGAGCCGCCCTGGCCGCCCGTCCAGCCGCCCGTGAGCTCCCTGCGCGCCGTCCCAGCCGCCCGTGAGCCGCCGCCGAGCCGCCTCAGCCGCCTGTGCTGTCGCCCGAGCCGCCTGAGCCGCCCGAGCCGCCCGTGCAGCCGCCCGTGCAGCCGCCCGAGCGCCGCCCCAGCCGCCCGTGCCGCCGCCCAAGCCGCCTGAGCCGCCCGAGCCGCCCGGGCCGCCCGCGCCGCCCTAGCCGCCCGAGCCGCCCGAGCCGCCCGAGCCGCCCGAGCTGCCCGAGCCGCCAGAGGAGCCGCACTCCTGCTCCTGTCGGGCTACTGCTGCTCCTGGGCTGTGTACCTGCGCCGCTGACCTACCCGACTCTTCCTGCCCGGTGAGACTGTCAGCTGCTGTCATGGCCACCCCCAATGTCCTAGCTTTTGACGCTGAGGGTAGAGCCATTGACTTTGCAGTCTCGATTGAAGACCTGCAGCTGTACTTACTGTGTGATGCGATCGATGAGGTCTCTCTCTTTGACTTTGTCTCTGGCGCTGTCCCTGCCCCTCCTGCTGATGCTGATTCCGCCGTTCGCTCCAAGTGGGCGACCCGCGATGCTGCTGCACGTCTTGCTGTGCGTCGCCACCTCCCTTCCTCCGAGCGTGCCCACTTTAGTTAGTGCAAGACCGCTCAGGCCTTGTACGACGCTGTAGTTGCACGCTACTCCTCCCCTTCCTCCGCTACGCTGAGCCGCCTCATGCTACCTTTTCTCTTCCCTGACCTCGCTGCCTTTCCCACTGTCGCTGACCTCGTTACCCACCTCCGCGCTAGTGACGCTCGCTACCGCGCTCCCCTTCCAGCTGAGTTCCGCGCCGCAAACCCTCCTCCCATGTACATCACTCTCTACTTTCTCGTCACCCGTCTTCCTGAGTCCCTTCGTGTCGTTAGGGACCAGTTTCTCTCTGTCTGTCCCACCACCCTCACTGTCGACCTCCTTGAGGAGTCCCTGCTAGCGGCTGAGAAGAGCATAGTCGCTGTAGGGGCCTCTCGGGGTGACCCTCGCACCCCCATCTTTGAGGGGTGTTCTCCTTCCCCCCTGCTGCCCTCTGTCGCCTCTGCCGCTGCGGCCGACCTCGCTGGTTTTGAGTCGGTCGGTGCGGCGTCTGCCCCCAGCGGTAGACGCCGCTCTGGCAAGGGCAAGGGGGGCAAGGGAGCGGGTGGAGGTAGAGGAGGCAGTGGCGGAGGAGGTGGGGGTGGCGGGGGGAGTGGGGGTGGCGGTGGAGGTGGTGGCGGGAGTGGAGGTACTGGTGGAGGCGGTGGAGGCGGAGGTGGCGGCGGAGGCGGTAGCGGAGGAGGCGGGGGCGAGGGTACCGGTGGGGGCGGTGGCGGTGGAGACGGGGGTGGCGGTGGAGGCGGGAGTGGCGGTGGCGGCGGGGGTCGGAGTGGCTCGTCCCAGCGGAGCAGCTCTGGGGGTGGTCAGCGCCAGCAGCAGCAGCAGCAGCAGCAGCAGCAGCGCTCTCGCACCGTCCCCGCCCCTCAGCAGCTCCGTGAGTGGTACTTGCAGCGTCAGCGTGGTGGTGCGTTTGGTCCCTGCCCCTACGTTCTTTGCACCGGCGACCGTGCGGGGGAGAGGTGTGGAGGCACCCACACAGCCCGCCGCTGCTTTGGCCGCCTGACCGGCGCCTGGCGTCAGCAGTTTCCGGAGGCCGCTGAGATCCCCCGCTGGGGGGAGCTGTCTAGGGCTGGTGTAGCCATTTATGATCTTAACTTTGATGCTATTCTTTCTGCTATGTATGCTGTGACTGGTAGTGATGAGGATGACCGTTACCGGTGTTTCCCGCCCGACCCGGGCATTGGTACTGCTGCGTCAGGTACTAGTGAGGCTGGTGCTCTAGGTGCCAGTGCGTCTGTGCTCTCAGGTACTGGTGAGTCTGCCCTCTCAGGTACTGCATCGGCTTCGGCCTCTCACACCTTCACCCTTGACTCTGGAGCGTCTCGCTCCTTCTTTCGGGACCGCACTACTCTCACGGCGCTGAGTCGGCCGGTTGCGGTGTCACTGGCTGACCCCTCTGGGGGGCCTGTCCTGTCTCGCTTCTCCACGGTCCTTCCGTGTCCGGCGGCCCCCTCTGGCACCCTGTCTGGTCTCTACCTCCCCTCGTTCTCGACGAACCTGGTGAGTGGTGCTGACCTACAGGATGCGGGTGTCCACCAGTTCACTCCTGCTCGTCAGCGAGTGACCCACTGCACGGAGGCTAGCACGGGACGCCACCTGGCTACGTTTACACGTCGGCCAGGGTCGAGCCTGTACACACTGACCACTGCTTCTCCTCCAGGTGCTGAGTCTGGTAGGGTCCCTTCGTCTGGTCAGGTGTTTGCCGCAGCGTCCAGGTCTGGTCCTGAGTCTTCCCCC